TATTGAAAAATGCTTCATGTTATTGAGCTGCTGTTTGCGATACAAATTGGCACAAACAATCGGCAATATAACACAACACAATTCAAAAAAATCAGAAAATTCGAAAAGTGCGGGGGTCAACTTCACACACTTATTCTTTTCGAGTTTCGATTCCTGCGAAAGACGCCGCGACGATTCGCCCCGGAAAATCTTTAGCAAGTCTCTCTTTCTTTTCTTTTGCTTCTATTGCGCATGTAAGTTTCCGTCCTTTGAGATTTCGTTTGATATTCTGACATTCGACATTTTGTTGTCCATAAAATGTACTTCGTTTGGTGTTATGGTATTAACCCTTCGTTAATACATCTCTTTTTTTGATCGCTTTTTGACATACTGCCTCACACTCAGAGCAATGTTTAACAACTGACATTGTTATTTAAAAAAAATCCAATCAATATGAAAAAAATTATGGGTCAATTTCAAGATTTGTAGAATACATTTAAATAATCTTTGATTGAAATTTCATTATAGTTTTTGTGAAAAAAATTCTTGAGTTCAATGAATAGAAAAAAAAACGTTCATAGAATAAAAAAAAAGTAAAATCTTTAAAAAATTGTAACTTTTAAAAATTCAATATCAAAAGTTAAAAATTTATAGAATTGTTGTTCAAACATGATACTTTGAAAAAAAATGAGTTTGTAAGTTGGTTTTGAATAAAGAGTATTTATTTTGCATATTGAATGCAGACTATTTTTGGGAATTGAAAAAAACAGATTTTTTTATAAATATTTTTGTTCAACAAAATAAAAGAAAATTGAATTTCAAAAAGGTAAAATAATTTTGTGGTTCACAGTATGTCAACTAAGGGTTAAGATATTACAGTACATTATAATTATAATATTTCTTTTACCGATTTCCGCGATTTACGCATCGCGATATACATTCACATTATATGTTATGATAAGAATTTTTTGATAATTCATCAATTTGACGAATTATCAAATTATTTTCTCTCTCTCTTTCTCATAAATCATAAATTAATTAATTTATTGGTGTATTGCGTGTACAAGAACATTGAAAGCACGCCTTGAAAATACTACAGAATAATCGAAATTAATAATAATAGCTCTGTTAATAATACTGTGCGCGCTAAGAGAGATCTTAATATAATAGTAAAAATTGAGATTTTTTTGACAAAATCAATAGTTAAAATTAAGAGCATAAAAGATAAACACATCTTTGTTATCTATTAAACAAATTTTTATTATACATATACTGTATAGGAGAAATCGAGGCTTGTTGGCACAGTATTCACAATTTCGGCATTAGATTCTTTGAACAATTAACTATTATGGTTAAAATATACTAATATGATAGAAAGAATCTATCTCTATAGTTTCATACCAGTAGTTCTATATACTGTATAGCTTCTTTGCAATAAATTTAATACGAATATGTAGTCAATTTTCCCGATATGTAATTTGGTACACATTACGATGTAAGTTATTTTTATAATTTTATTATAAAATTTTATTATAATAAATTTTATTATAATAATTTTATTATAATAAATGACCATTGTTATTCGAAATAATGTATGGTATATCAACAGATACTTTTTTTAACTAATAATATATTACTTAGATTTGCTTTCTCAAGCCGAACTTTAATACGAAATTATGAAAATACTCAAAAAGGAGGATGACTAAAATTATTGGATTTTGGCCTAAATCATGGATTCATTATATGTTTTCTTGTATTTTTTAATGTGTTGAATTGTTTGCAAATGTTTAGTTCAAGCTGATTTGATGAGAACATGTTGAAAATCGCATTAAAACTATTAAAAATAATTTTGTCGAAATCTGATATTTAATTTTCAATACTTTTCCATCAATTTAGCTGGATTAAAATTTTCAAATAATTCAGCACATAAAAAAAAACATAATAAGTAATAATTCCTTTGCTTAGGCTAAAATCGATTATTTTATTTAATATCTCTCTCTTGAACAATGAATGAAATAGGTCAGTTTTAACCAAAGCAACTGAATCTTTCTTGCATATTTTTTTGTTTACTTTTGCAATCAAAGATCAAATTTCAACGAAATTATGCTACTTTTATTGCAATTTTCAATATATTCTCATTAGATCAAATTGATAAAAACATTGTGCAAATAATTCAGCACATCTAAAAATACAAAAAAAATATGCATAACAAATTCCATATTTAGGCCAAAATTCGGTAATTTTACCCATAATATACTTGCCTCCTCTTGATTTTCCCTTTTTTTATTGTAATTTGTTTGATTTAAATAAAATTTAAGAAAAAGTGCTTATGTTATAAAAGAAATATTTTGCAGTAACTTTTCCATTGTGTTTCGTCATAAATAGATAAACGCAATGTCAACTTGTCTCTCTTCTGTTAGCAAGCCTCGGTCTTCCCTACATAAGTATTTCGACCTTCTTATTGAGTCATTCAGTATGTTTTTCATAGCACTTAAAAAATGAAACTCATCAATAGGAAATAAGAAAATGGTTTGTTTGATAATATTGTAAGTGGATTGTTGTAAAGTTGAGATTTTTTTCATGCTTAACTATTTAAAAGTTAATATA